TTTATGGGGAGGGAATGTTACCCTCTTTCAGGGTCAAGGTATACCACAAGTCTCTTTGAGGAATTACAGAGGTGGTGTTATCCTCTTTTACGCAAACTTTGATCTTAATCAAGCGAAGAGAATGATCCTTACTAACTTAACCAAACCAATCTTTGTCGGCATGAATTTGCATTTCTCGCTAGCTAGGGTTAGTGATCTTGAATTTAGTATGACAACAAAGGATAGTACTATAGAAATTTATTTGCCTAACCAAAAACGGTGAACTTACCACTCATATGATCCACAGTCAAACACGCTAGCTAATTACGTAGACCATATGTTCTTTTGTATATCTTCCATTTTATTTTCAAGTACATTGGTGATAAGGACTCGTATCATTTTCCTAGTTCCACAAAGTGGTCAGTTTCGTTAATTTGCTTTTGGTTACAAATTGTGAAGCTGATCACATTAAGAAAATAAAATACGATAAATTCCATCTAGTTTATATGTACCATGAACAAGTACTCTAAAAGAAAAAATATATTCTTTTGCGTCGCCAAAAAATATATCTCCTTATGCTTGCAACGCTCTATCACGTGACCAAGTTTAACTTACATGGGAGATCCTTCCCAAGTCTAGATTAGTTGTTCATAGTTTACACCAAGACAAAGGTCTGAAAACTTTGTTTGGCACGTTTCAATGTTCAATAATCCCAGAAGAAATCTAGTACAAAAGACCTCCCATATATACTAATTAATTTGTAGAATTTAATTGCTCATATTCTTTGGACCTATATGTCATGCATGATTACTTTTTTCTTCACTCCAACACTAAAATGCTTGGATTATATATAATTAATCAGATTAATGCAAGTTCTGGTGCTGAATATTTTACCCCAGAGATGAGCCAAATCTAAGCATTTTTTTATTCTAAAAGAAAATACATTTCAATATTCTATATATTCTTTATGTCTATTTATGTCTATTTATTCCGTGTAGGATTACTGTCTAGACCTAACAAATAAACCTGCTCTTCATTGACCAACACTCCATGCCAATGGCAATGTCACTTGTCAGATACAGATAGTATACTCCTTTTATCATTTGCAAAAAAGAACACTAAATTGTCAACAATCTCAAGCTACTTCTTCAATATGGTTGCGTTTACAATTATTTCTTTTAGATTGATGCTCTCCTCCCCTATCAAAGGCCTCACCACTAAAAATATTCCAACCATGTCATAGCATATGATACATTCCAACTTAATTATTACTCCCACTTTAATTCCTATTGGAAATCGATTCGAGCAAATTTCTATGTATTTTAAGATGCTGTTCTTCTTCTACCTAAACTCAAATTAGTCAGCCTTAAATATGATTACGTAGAATATGACATAGCTTCGTAAATTCTTCTAGTCAACTCTAAATTCTATAGAATAGTGCAAGAGTTATATATGTGCACAGTATATACATATATGATTTCTGATTGAACACAAAACTGATGGATCGATCTAAATCATGATTTCTTTGACGCCAAAGATTAATTTCTACATCAGTCATATCAATTTGGTCACAACATTTTGTTCCACAGATAACTTAATCGTAGCAAAACATTATGTACCAAACTATTATTCGTCTTTGGATAATATATATCATTTGATCTCATTAAACAAATATGGTAGCCATGTTTTGGTCAATATAGCCATTTTTTATTAGTGGAAGGTCGTTTTGGAAGTGTTTATGCATGAGACGCGCAAATATTTATTAGTTTGTTTTATATATACACACACACAAAACCGTGTAAAAGGCATGCAGAATATATGAAGGCAAATTGAATGAAGAAACAATATATACTACTCTACTTTGTATAATTTAATTCTAAAATGTTATATAAATTATTATTTGTGAATACGATTGTTGACTATGTAAACATCTCAAGATTCAAAAAATAATACTAACGCGGGCTTTATATTTATTTATGGCCTTCAAGAAGCCATGTGAGATAAAATTCTCATGTATAGTTTTGTGATAGCGATAGTAACAATAATGGTATCACAATTATTTTAAGTTAAATTAATTCTAATTATCATGACAGTAATTAATGGGGAATCTGTGCGAGAAATAGAAGCACCGATGCCGATTGGCCAGGACTAAGGTCTGCAGGGTATAATATATAATGCAAGACATCAAATAACTGAACATGCACACAAAAGGAATTCAAGTACAAATTGTAGGATCAGGATCCTCTCCTGAGCAAATGAAGAGGATCCTCCTGACTAGGCTCATCGGACCGTTCAAATTTTATCCAACTGCTACAATTATTATAATTTTTAGAGGAACCTCCTGTTTGTAGTCGTTGGATAAAATTTGAATGGTCCGATCAGAGGATCCTTTCCATTTGCTCAGGAGAGAATCCTTATAGCAAATTGCAGGGTATATCGACGAAAATGAAATTGTACGTGTTGAATGGATTCGAGAAGGTAGAGTAGTAGCTAAACCTGATGCAAATATACTAAAAAGGAAAATATCTTAGGTCAATTCTACATAGAGTGGATTCGCCCCTTAAGTTATGGCTCGTCTTTTTTTCTTTTCTTTTTGTGTTTCTTTATTTTTTCAGGGCTCCAGAACCCGAACCTCTAAAAGTGATAATTGTTCGTAGCTCACTAACTTATAAAGTATGTTAGTACATGTCATGCATGCATACAAAATAGTGCACCCATCTAAACCATCAAATCCGACACAAGCGGGAAACTTCTGTTAATACTGAAGAACTAGAAAGTTTTCCAATTTAAAATCATTGGCCTAATAAATGAAATCATATACAACTTCATGAATGATAAGAGTTGCAGCATACCGCACGATCAATTGTGCTCCAATGCCCCTATATATGCGTGATATTTCAATCTATCTAACAGCTAGTATGTAGGCTCGTTGATTGCCTCCATTTAATTGTCGTCTTCATTATTATTATTATTATTATTGTTGTTGTTGCATTGGAGAGTTTAGAACTTTGAACACAACACAGTCTTACATATCACTTTACCCGCTCTCATCACTAGACTAATCCTGTTTTCATTCTTTTTACTGAATGCATGATCTCAAGAATATCCTTTCAAGGATGATATATACTTTTATGTACGAGGTTCGTTTTACAGTTTTCTTTTTTGCTTAAATGATTACTTTATATTGATGAAAGTTGAGATTCTATCATAAAATTAATTGGCAATATGTGGAACAGTCCAACATCTTATAAGCTCTTGCATGATTTGGTGCTAATGTAGGACTTTGTCTTCACATTCTCACACGCCCTCTACAATTGAACAAGTATATTGTTTATACAAAGATATATTTATACTAAGGATGAAGTTATCATTCACAAGATAAAGTTATCATTCACAAGATTCAAACTTAGACTTCTCATTTGTAAATGAAGATAAATATCACTTAAAATGCCTCTGTAAAATTTTCAAACATCTAAAAAAAAAGATTGTCGTGGAAAAACCATCATTTGATCATTTAAAAAAAATGGAGAAGCCATCATTTGATCATTTAAAAAAAATATAGTACAAGTGGTTGAACATGTATAATCAACCTTTACTTGTTCATACAAACGAGCTTTAAGGCCTGCAAATCGGGATAAAGTACTTTTGGAGTCTGAACACTTAACTTTGGTTATATTTTGAGGAGAAAAAAACAAACAAATTAGTTTGTCAATATATATAATTATCATATGAAATTGGCATTCGACCAACCTTTTTAATCTTGAGGGGATGCCCTTGACCGACTTTCAGGAAACGGGAAAAAAGCGAGCCACAAAATTCGGGGGTTACCGTAACGGAGATGACGTGAAGGGCCAATCAACTAGACATAGGCGTGTGATGGGAACAGAATGTCGCTCCCACGTGCCACCTACGGTCAAAAGACGGTGCCCAATCCGTAACACGTGTAAGCCCTTTCAGCAAACCGTTATCTTGGACATCTTGACCGCCACACCACACCTCCTAAGTGGTCCCTATCCCTAACCACAGATAAAACACTAACAAGCAGAAGTTACCATTCGAATCGAAAGACCATAAAAGTATCACGTAGTAAAGATAGTTGTATTTCAGTTTTTGATTGGGCCTCACGTGATATTTTCACATGGCTGACATTAGTCTGTCAGTCTTGGGGCTAGAATTGTCATAGCACTAGCCCTGGCTGCCAATTACCAAGACTCAGAATAATAGGTGAAGAGTGTTTTGGAGTGATTTTGGCGCTTGCCATGTCTAAAGCTAATGGATGGAAGTGCTCTAAGTGGTTTCAATGTCTAATCGATGATCGATTGCAAACTCTGAATTAAAAAGATTTCAACAACGGCAATTCTCATATCGCAGTAAAGAAATGTTAGCAACCTTTTCACTTCTTCATTTCAATATTCTCATTTCTCTTCAGATGCATACTCTCCTAGCACTCAAAATTAAAATTTTAATTATACAAAAATTCCCATTATTTTTCTCCTTTGTTATTATTATTTATATTTTAGTTTGTCGACCAAAAAATAATTAAATTTTTAGTTTTGTGTACTAGTGGCATACATGTAGCGTGAATAGAAGTGAGAAAGTTAAAATGAAAAGATAAGTGAGAAGGTTACTATAGCACTCCCAATCTCAAAAAACTTCTTCAATTTTATGAAAATGTCATCTTTCTTAAGGATATTTGGGTTCATGTTATTAATCATTTCACTTTTTAAGTTTTTGTGTTATTTAGAAGAGAAATATAAATGGAGATCGAGGAACGAAGAAGAGTAGATGAAGGATGGGCTAAGAGATGTAAAATAATGTACATTTTATTTTTTTTCCTCTTTACCACTACTCTTCTTCATTTCTCTTTTATCTTAAATACTTTTGTCATATCTCAAACATAAAAAGTGAATTTTAGTAGTTATTTAGTTGGAAGGAAATTTATAAGAAAATGAAGAAAATAAACTATTGCTGTGAAACTGCCAAGTGCGCAAAGTAGCCAAAAGTAGCTAGCTAGCATCCCATCCGATCTACTCCTCTCTCTCTCTCTCCTATTAAAAAATGGCAATGATAAAAATCAAACCTAAAGCTGAATTTCTCTAAAAATAACAAAGCAAGAATCTCATCCCCATCTCTCTCACATCTCTCAAAAGCTTCTTCTTCTTCTGGTTCTTCTTCTACCATGTCAAATGAGAGGAAAAATCCTTACCAGTACGATCCTTTCGACTATAACCACCATGAGATCAACAAGTCAAGCTTTCCATTCTTCAACTATGGCAATTCCTCCACATACCAAAACCAACCAGATGACCCACAAACCCTAAATGGGTTTGAATCTGATCATCCTAATCCGTTCATGAGCTTCACCGACTGCCTACACGGATCATTGGACTACAACACCCTCTCGAAAGCCTTCGACATGTCGTGTTCTTCATCCGAAGTCATTTCTCCACCGTTGGATCATGATAACAACTCAAACAAGCAGCAGGCGGCAGCAGGTGTACGAGATCACTCAGTGGGGACTACTAGTACCACTGAAAACCCTTCCACACCAAATTATTCCTCAATATCTTCTTCATCTAATGAAGCTGCTGGTGCTGCTGGTGATGATCAAGTTTTAGATGAAGATTCAGATCATAAGAGAAAGAAAGATAAACAGCCAAAATTAGGGTCTGATGGAGTTCATGAAGACAAGTCAAAGAAAGGGTAGGTTTTTTTGGTTCCTTGTGGCTAGATTCATGGTAAAAGTTAATTAGAAGTTTTAGTTGTTATTTATTACTTTCATTCATAATTTTAATTCCTCTCTTGGTGTATATGGATAAATAGGGCTCCCTAGCTTGACTGTATTTTGTCTGAAGGTGTTTCAAAGTCTTTTGTTTTTTTTTTTTTTTTTTTTTTTTTGAGAAATTCAAAGTCATATTAACCAAATTAACTAACGAAAACTTTTTAGTGCATTTTTCTCCCTTGTGTCATTAATTGAAGAGATATTTCTTTATTTATTCGCTTTCTCATTATCTTCCTTATATTAACCCTAAACCCTAAAAGCAAAAACTGGGATCTATATCTAGAACCCTAATCACACACACACACACACACACATACATGTATACAGTAGGTCATTTTTTGGGTACAAACAAATTTCAAGAAAAACTATATCTAATTTGTTCAGATCATTTTTGGAAACTGGGTGTCTTGTCTCTCTTTTTCTTTTATTTCTTTTATTAGGTAGTGCTAATTGTTGACTGAAGCTTCTGAAATTGTGAGATTCAGGAGCAAAGCAAAAAAGAAAGAGAAACCGCAGAGGGAACCACGTTTTGCCTTTCTGACTAAGAGTGAAGTGGATCACCTTGAAGATGGATACAGATGGAGGAAGTACGGACAGAAGGCAGTCAAGAATAGCCCTTATCCTAGGTTAATATAAATATAAATATATATATATATATATATATATAGATTTAATTTAATTCTAGTAGAAAGTACATTCCGAAAGGAAAAAAAAATCCAATTTATAATGATTTGTGGGTGTGAACTAATCTCCAATCTTTCAACAGCCGTTTATTTCATTTGGCCGGTCAATAGCCATTATTTGATGATGAAATGTTTGTTACATGCAATTCATATATCTGTTAGTGGCCATTCATATGTAGTTATAATTAATTTGCACTTTATAAAGTTTCTTTGATGCTATTAGGAGAAGGATTTTGTTTAAGCGACTCAATGAATAAGCTATAATTAATTATTGAACACATTATTTATGGGAGTCGAATCCGGTACCTCTAGTTAAGCCGTATACAAGTGGCTGCATTTGAAGTTAAAAACACTTTCTACAATGCATAAATTGCTCTAGTACACTGTCATATAAAAAACATGGTAGCCTTCAAATTAAGCCCTAATTAATCACGTATTAGTATAATGTTTTATGTACTTACTTTGGTTTGATATATAACTAGCTCTTGATCTAGTGGTTAATTTCACTCGACCTAAATATGATATTTACAAACTTTTTACATTTCTTAGTTAGAAAAGCTTATAACATGAGACATATATAATTGATATATGTGGTGAACTCACACAAGTTTTCAATTACTATTTGCTTAAATTTTTCAGGAGTTATTACAGATGCACTACACAAAAATGCAACGTAAAGAAGCGTGTTGAGAGATCATTCCAAGATCCATCAATCGTGATCACAACATATGAAGGTCAGCACAACCACCAGTGTCCAGCAGCAACACTTCGTGGTAATCTCAATCTCAACGCTGTCGGAATGCTGTCACCTAATTCGCTTTTGGCAGCGGCATCTTTGAACGGATCAGCAAGATATTCACATGAATTCTTAGCTCAATTTTTCCCAGTGAACAACCAGGTGCAATTGCCAAATCATTTCCATGATCATCCACCAAGTTCAATGTTATACTCAAATCTCATGAATCCTCATAGTCATCACCATCATCAGCAGCAGCAGCAACAGCTACATGCTCCTGACTATGGTTTGTTGCAGGATTTAGTTCACTCGTTTAGTCACAAGCAAGAACCATGAATATTTGTGAGTACTTTTCCAGTCGATCGGCGGGCAATTATATGCACCAAAAGTATGATATTTGCAGTACTCTATATATACCACTGCAAGTAGTCCTACATTTATCTTTTGATCTAGCTGTATCATTATTGCAGTACTGTCTTGTGTGCACGCTTTCTCTGACCCTGATCTGTCTTCTTCTCTCTTAATCTTTTGTACCCAGATTTTCTTTGATGGACTAAGAAACAGTATGGCTCTCAAGAAATAGCATTCAGTGCGTAGGGCGTGCTAGTATATATAATTCTGAGGACTGCAGTGCATATTGTTCTTGTGCTCATAAAATTAAGGGCTAACTACATTTCACACTCTTTGAGTTTGGGATGATTTTTCAAAATGGGTTGTGAAGTTTTAATTGTACCGTTTGCATCATAATGTATTGAAGTTGGTTAATTTATGTCACTGGTTGAATTGATTGTTGTCCTTCATTATATTGATGACATAGTGAGCTTGAGACTTTTATGTGGGCTACTATATATATACACATGTACACTGCGTTTGCACCACATTGACAGAAAAACTCATCAATTTAATGGAGGATTAGATGTTTAAAGAGACAAAAGGTGTCAATTGATACAATTTCAAAACTTCTGAAGACAATGTGAGAAAGATAGAACCTCAAAACCCATTTGGAAAATCACGCAAACTTAAAGGGTGTAAAATGTAGTTAATCTACTAAAGCTTCTCAAATTGTTAGTGAATGAAGGTACTTCTTTTGAAGGAATGGCAAACTGTCTAGCCACTCGAGAGGGCTAATTACTGTACTTGAAGATATGGAGCTTTACTACAGTGCATATATGTATGTATGCAAATATGTATTTATAGCTAGCATTGCAAAATGAGGGCTTAACTGTACGTGAAGAAATGGTTGATTGGAGAGCTAAGGTTAGAGCTATATTTCTAGGAGGATTAAGGTTTTCTTTGCGTGTGAGCGTTCAAATAGTATATATGCATGGCTATTAATCCTACTAGAAATTATGCCCCGTACGTTTAAGTTCTTCTAAAGGACATCCTCGAATAAGTAGACAAATGTAGTTGCATTGTTAAGTGTATTTTGTAAAATGAGAGATTTTAGGTTTCAATGTGTGGATGATGAATTCAGTACCATTTTATTCTTCATTTCCCAGTGTAAATATATCATCTTATATATGTGTGTGTGTGTGTAAGAGTAATGCTAGGTAGATCGAGTTTTTAAACTAAGTAATAATCCAATCATTAATAACTACGTCATATAGTTTACAAAATGTGGTTTAAAAAATTTGGCATCTCTAGCATTACCCTATATATAAAGAAGGTGTAGTTGTATTGTCTTATTGCTAGTGAAGATAGTTTATGGTGTAAAAGAATAAAATTTAAACTTAAGACAATTGCAAATCAATTGATATTGGATTAATTTCACAATTTATGTGTATGCGTGAAGATAAAATTATGTGTAAAAATTGATGTGGTGTTAGAAATTTACTCAAATTTAACACATATCGCGTATAAAGTTTATAGCGGCTTAGTAGTGTTAATGCTTATACAAAACATTATATGTATAATTTGAGTGTATGTGTAACACCAAACTAGCATGCCACTTGAGAATGCCAATACACATTGAGAACCTAATAAAAACAACATACTTCGACTGTGAAACAAAACCCTAATTATTTGTTCCAAATTTTAACACATATCGCGTATAAAGTTTATAGCGGCTTAGTAGTGTTAATGCTTATACAAAACATTATATGTATAATTTGAGTGTATGTGTAACACCAAAGTAGCATGCCACTTGAGATACCGATACACATTGAGAACCTAATAAAAACAACATACTTCGACTGTGAAACAAAACCCTAATTATTTGTTCCAATCCGTGGTATGCTATTGGTGGTTATAATTTGCCTCCGGGAGTGTCCTGCATTGGCCTTTGTTATAGAGGTTCTTTTGCCATCATCCCCATATATTTTCCAAACTTACCTCATATTTAGCGTGCTCAAACCTTTCTTTTTCTGAAAATATGACTTTAACCCCTCAAATTCAATTTTTTCCATATAAAACTCAACATAATTTTTTACTAAAAAAAAACCCAATGACTAGGATCCACCTAAGTGAATTCATTAATTATATATTACTTTACACATTTTACATTTTAGATGCCTAAAATACCCTTATTGCATATTTGATGTGCACAATTAATTCTATGCAGATTGTAAGGAGAGAGTTTATGATTTCGCAAAAAGAAAAATAAGACCTTAATGTTAAAAATTCATTGCATATTAATATCAAATATGAGAATTTTTGGCTTAATTCTATGTATCTGGCATTATGAGTTCATATATGTATATTTAAAAAAAAAACCCTAATATATGTAATAATACATATAAAAAAAGTAATTTACCTACCATGTACAAAAATATTATTTGATTCAAAATGTGTGTGTGTGTATATATATCTGTGTGTGTGTGTATTTATATCATTAGACCATATTAATTTACCTACCTACTATTTGAAATGTTCATTTCCAATGATGCAAAATAGTGTATACCAACTACAAAAAATTGCATAAACTTAGGAATTGGATCATGCTTTTGATTTTATTGTTTTACCTACAAACAATCATATACATATTACTTTATATATTTTTACCAAAAAGTACGTCCCTAATAGGCTAATATATGTAATAATACATGAAAAATAATGTACCTACCATGTGTAAAAAAATGTTATTTGATTCAATTATATAATCTAGGTTTTCTCAAAAAAAAAAAAAAAAATATATATATATATATATATATATATATAATATCTAGGTGTAGTATATATATTTTTTTATATAATTGGAACAAATTAATTTACCTACCTACCTACAAATTAATTTTCAATAATTTACCTACAAAAAATTATACCCCGTGTGTAGTATAATATTTTTTTTTCACTAATACATGGAGAATAATTTACCCATAACAAGAAGAAATGTAATTTGATGTATTATATTGAAAAATATTATGTCATACCTATATTTATACAACAATAAAATGTGCCTAATATATGTAACAATACATGAAAAATAATTTACCTACAAGTTAGAGAAGTGTTATTTGATTCAAAATATATAATATGAATTTAGTATAATTTTTTTAATAATTGGAACAAATTAATTTACTTCCCAATTAATGAAAACATATACTTCCCAATTAATGAAAAACATATATATCACAAAAAGGTAAATTTTTGGTATGATATGGATACAATTGAGGCAATACAACAATTTATATATTTTATTTCACTTTTTCTACAACTTTAAATTTGGAATAAATTTAGGGATTTGGGAAAGTGGCATGGGTGTAAATAAATTGTATTAGTAGGTCAATAGTGTTCCGATGTGGCTGCATATTTTAAATTTGGGCTTTTATTGAACGTTTATATGTAGATGAGTTTTTATTTAGGAATCATGAGTTATAAGGGCCAAAATCTAAAACACCATTTCTTTTTCAAGAAAATGAGAGTTGATCAGGTTGCTGAGGAATAATTAATAGGATAAATTACAGAGACTTCTATTTGTAATCATGAAAAAAACTCCATTAACTGTATTCAAGTATCATATCATCATATTGTACAAATGATTTACATTAATTAAGCTTCTACTGTTGTACCTAATTAACTGGAATTTATTTTGTAAATTGCATGTTTTTCCTACTCTTCTATGACTACATACATCTTGTGTTGTGTGCATCTTTCATGTGTTATCTTCTATTCAAAGCTTCTTAATACGAACTTAGGGCACATATATATTAATAAGTAGATAAACATTATAACAAAAGTATGTTGGTAACACCGTGTAACGTTGTGACATCACACTAATGAGGGTTTATTTTAGAACTACTTTTAAAATGACTGAAAGAACTTTTAGATAAAATATTTTTGGATTTCAAAAGCACTTAAAGTGCTTCCTGCAACTTCTTGCAAGAAGCGCACCTGTTATGTGCTTCTTGCATGAAGCAATAAAGTGTTTTTTAGAATTCACTTGCTATTTTTCTAAAGATAAGTTTTAAAAGAATTTTCACCAAAACACGGTTTCAGCCATTTTAAAAATATTTCCAAATGAGCCATAATTCTCTCATTAACCCCTATGCACTTGTTCTCAATAACACTTTGGGTTCCTAATTAGAATTTAGGGTGCGTAATTAATGGTTCGTTTGTTATAAACATTTTGTTTTTTAAATTTTAGTTGTCAATTTTTGTGCTTAAGATGTGGAGAAATTATATAAAAGAAATTATGGATGAAGTGTGGTGGGAGGAAGATGAAGGAAATATAAAAACTCTAAAAGAATAATGAATGAAAACAAACTCTTAAAATTGAAAACAACTTGAAATAGTTTCTGATGTTTACTGTTTTGATTTTATTTTGTACCCTTCGTTACATTTCTTCTACATTTATCATACAATCCTTCATTCTTCATCATTATTCTTTCCTTCTATATACTTTTTTCACGTTTCAAGCATATAAAATGAAAACAAAAAATAAAATAATTATCAAACGGCTCCGAACGAGCTCAATTCCCTTAATCTTTGTAATGTTATCCAATATCCGAGCAAAACAAAATAGGATTTGCTGCCGTCCACGCTTATCCAACCACAAAAATAGGGATTTTGCTGAAAAATATCCATAAGATGAACGTTGGACAAAAAAGTCAAAACCTAGACACCACACTCAGAATTCAAATGTAGCAGGCTATCTCAGCTTACCCATTCCATGATTCATAAGCCTCTGTCTGGGAGTTCTTCGGAAACATTGGAAAAAATAAAAAAAAACAACCGACTCAATTTACAGGTCCACAGCAAAAGCATTTGTTTGTCAGGCTGAAGAGTCTGACAATAATGCACTGCATTTTGCATACCACCCCATCAATGTATTGATGTCTCATTTGACTGAAATGCCAACCCAAACATCGAGAAATCAATGCAACTTCCTTGTGTTCCTTCTTATTTGCCATAAAATTTGAACTAGCTTTTGGTTGAGTAAGAATTGTGTCATGCAAGTAACTTGGATTGGACCACCTTATTGATTTTTTTGGACCATTCTTGTGTGTGAGGGTACATTGTGATTTTTAGAAGCTAGAGTAGCTATTTTGAAGAGGTAGTAGATACGTGGCTCGTTATGAGCAAACGACTCATTCGTCGTTACAAAGTAGTTTGACAAGTGTGCACAAACTTTATCTTTTGTGTATTTAATAAGTTACTTGAGAGATGGTTTTCACACAACCCTTTTAACTTCTACTCATCGCTCTTTGTTTTTGGCTATCAAATTGATTGAATATATCAAACAGAAACAATTGACATCATTAAACAGATGTGTGTAAAAAGTAAGAGTGTGTTTATCATTTTCCAAGTTACTTATGCATACGTTGTCAACTTGTTATTTACACGTAAAGAGAAATGACTCATTAACTGTAAGGAGCTAGTAAGTGTTATTTGTTAGT